GGAGGGATGTGTCTGCAGCCTTAACAAAGTTCTGTCAGATATTTATTTTTCAGGACCACGGTCTTAGCTGGGGTAAATCCACTGTAACAACACACATGGATCATGGGTCACGAACTCTAGCACCTTTGGAGCTCAGAGCCTGAGATAGTAGATAATGTTTTCACCTCTCAGCTCACTACCTGAGCAAAAACATTTTAGCTCCCAGGTTCATAAACCTTTTACTTCACCCAGCCACTAGAGGGTGATGAAGACCTCCACTGTTTAGTCATGGTGGATGACACCCGCAGCAGATGTTCTTCTATCCCTTAATTTCATCTTTAGGCTGCACTGCGAATGGAAGGTTGAAGGTGAAATCAATGGACAGAAGTGAGCTTCCCATTACAGTTGATTGGGAATTGTTTTGACATTTCCCCCCCCCCAAAAAACCACCAAATCCTCAAAACCGAAACTATTTGCAGGCAAGGGTGGGTTTTAATAAACTTCCCCACTAGGAAAGAGCATAGAACGTCTTGAAAAAGTCCCCCTTTGACATTTTTTTAAGCAAAAAGCTTTGGGTTTTTTTGGTTCCAAATGACTTCACGGAATTTAATGTATACTAAAAAACCTAAAATAAAAACGGAAAAATAAGGTCCAAGTTGAAACAAAACGTTTCAAAATGATTTTGAAACCTGAACACATTTCTTTTTCAGTTTGTCGATTTGCAAACATCTTTGAGATTGCAATTTTTAGTCCCTATTCAGGACAGGAAAGTTTTGCAAAATCTTGAACATTTTGGCTGGACAGAAAAACCATTTTCCACTCAGTCCGACTTCTGATAGCACATACCCAGAATGCTTTCTAAGGACTTCTCATTGACAGACATGGCTATTGCATGCGCCTGGGATTTTACTTTCTTTTTGTGTCTGTTTTTGCTAGCATGAATCAGTGTTTTGTATTGACATGATTACTACTAAAATATGCATTTTTTTAAAAAAGAGGAGAGAGGTCTTTTTTTTTTCCACTGTGAAAATTTTTACTAGGGCTCCATTTCAACCAGGGAAGTCATTAAAGGTTATAATAAAACTTAGTGAAGTGTTCCTGAATCATCTATGAGATAGATTGATGAGTGCGTGTGAGGATGGATGGATAGCTAGCTAGCTAGATCTGGGTTCTAGAATCTGTCTATCCATCCCTGTACACATCCATCCATCCCTGTGCACATCTAATCTATCTATCTATCTATCTTCATCTCTAGATCCTCATTTGCTGATCCAGCTAATGCAGTAGTTCTCAAACTTTTTTACTGGTGACCCCTTTCACAGAGCAAACCTCTGAGTGCGATCCCCCTTATAAATTAAAAACACTTTTTTATAGCTTCAACACCCTTATAAATGCTGGATGCAAAGCGGGGTTTGGGGTGGAGGCTTACAACTCGCAACCCCCCATGTAATAACCTCGTGACCCCCTGAGGGGTCCCGACCCCCAGTTTGATTACCCCTGAGCTAATGTATCCAATCTGTCTAATACAGATAAATCTGAAGGCTAGGATCTATCTTTCTATCTATCCCTTTACACACCCACCTATCTACAGATGGAAAGTGGTATATAAGAGCTGGGTATTCTTTCTCTCGCTCTCTCGCTCTCTCCCTCCCATATGCACAGGAACGGCTCCAGGATTTTTGCCACCCTAGGCGGCAGCGCTCCTCCTCTGAGCATTCGGCGGCGGGGGTCCTTCCGCTCTGCGTCTTCGGGGCACTTCGGCGGCGGGTCCCGGAGCAAGTGAAGGACCCGCCGCCGAATTTCCGCCGAAGACCCAGAGCGGAAGGACCCCCCGCCGCCAAATTTCCGCCTAGGACGGCAAAATGCCGCCCCCCAAATCCTGCCGCCCTAGGTGACCGCCTAGGATCGCCTAGTGGAAGCGCCGGCCCTGCATATGCACACACCTCTCTCTCTCTCCCTCTCTAAGACTTTCCTCACTGTGGTCTCCGAACACCTCATTAGCCCAGTATTTTGATATTTAAACACCCCCTCTCTCCCCGGCACAGGAAACGAGCCCCGGCTGGATTCTCTCTCTCTCACACAGCAGGTGCTGGGATGGAGGAGGAGAATCCGCAGCAGGAAGGGCCAGCGGGAGCAGAGCTGCATGAGACATCCCAGAGCTCTGAGCAGGGAGACCCCCCGGGGGAGAGACATGCTCAGCAGGGGCCAGGCTTCTGGAAAGACAAGCCAGGCGAAAAACCCTGCACGTGCCCCTCCTGTGGGAAGAGCTTTAGCTGGCGCTCCCACCTGGCCATCCACCAGCGCACCCACACGGACGAGCGCCCTTACCGATGCACCGAGTACAGGAAGAGCTTCAGCCAGAGCCACCGCGCTGATCCAGCACCAAGGCACCCACACATTCCAGGTGCTATTTGGGATTTAACCGGTAGAGATGGCAACGTCATCCGGGTCCCTCTCTGTGGCCTGGCCTGGTCAGGACATCTTTCAGGATCAGGACGACAAAGGTCCAGGGTACGAGGAGACGGTGGGGGTGGCATCTATCACGGCGAAGCTCCTCCTTTGCCTTCTCTTGTCTTGACGTCAGCCAGCGTCATGGTAGGCAGCGTTTCCAAAACTCTTTTCTCCTTAAGGACCCCAGAAGGAGACTGATGGATGGAGCAGCCCATCTTCTCGTTGTTTTGCCCACCAATTAGGCCTAATTTCTGAGATACCAATTTGGTCCATTGATTTCCGGTCCCTCATGCCTCTTTCTTACCAGACATGATCATAACACAGTTCTTGAGTTATATCAACAGGCCTTTCTGTGTTTGGACTAACTCAGCCTTTCCATCTCTCTTTTGTACCTTTTCCCCTCCGCATTTGTCGTTATGGGTTATTCTGACCTTTTATAAACTGTCACATGGTTTTTACAGGTGAGCTCACAATTAGGGTACATTTACAGGCCCAGTTATCACCACAGGAATTAAACATTGGACCAACTTACCAAGGACCATGGTGGATTCGCCATCACTAGCAATTTTTAAATCGAGACTGGATATGTCATTCTAAAAGGTCGGCTCGGGTCCAAACAGGAATTAATTCAGAGACGTTCTCTGGCCTCTGTTACGCAGGAGGTCAGACCAGATGATCGCAATGGTCCCTTCTGGCCTTGGAACCAATATTAGCACAGGACTAACCTAGGTTGTAACCCGGGTTGTACCCCTAACACTCCTTCCATCCGCACACACTCCCTCTCACCCGAGTTCAGTGGTGCTTCCAACCTAGGCTGGATGGCCCAGCTGGGGGTATGGCTTGAAGCCCGGGTGAAGCTTTCACTGAGGCTGGTCACCGGCCCACTTTGCAGTGAGGACACAGGCTACACCCACCGAGTGCTGATAGTCCTCCAGTGCCTTCCCACAACTCCCTCGTGTGCGCGGAAGCACAGACAAGTTCTCCCATGATGCACTGGGAAAGAATCCTAGAGTGTCTCAGCCTAGTGCAGCACAAAGCACCATGGGACGTGCCCCCCAAAAGTCCGAGTCACACGCATGGAGGAAGGCAGCACCGGAGAGGAAGCAGTAACTCGGACAGGGCTTTGCAGTGTGGCGTGAATCCCTGTGCACCCCAGAGGCGGTCACATCTCAGTGCTGGGCGAGGGGCCTCGGTGTGTACACTGCTTTGTGCTCCATGGAGCTGGAAGGCAGTAGGGAAGGAGCCAGGCTTAGCGTTAGAGCTGAGCTCTCTGGGTGGATTTGCCTTTTGGGGAAGCATCAAGCGGAGGCGCTGAAGACTGAGATGGATGAAATGACACCGCTGATAAAGCAGGAGATCTCCGCCTGGCTGGAAAGAGCCAGCTGTCCCCATTCAAACTGGTTTTCCCCGTCACAGATCCGCAGGATCGGTGCTATGGTCCCTGCTTTAGAACAGTCTCTGGGAGGATCCCTTCAGTGAGTCAGACACCCAGTGGTCTCACTCTTCCTCCAAGCTAAGCCATGTGGCTTCACCGCCTCCTTAGGCTGGTGCTCTGGGCCTTCAGCTCTCCTGCTTCACACCATCAGCTCTGTTCAGTAGGGTGACCAGATGTCCCGATTTTATAGGGGCAGTCCCGATTTTTGGGTCTTTTTCTTATATAGGCTCCTATTACCCCCCACCCCCGTCCCGATTTTTCACACTTGCTGTCTGGGTTTATTAGTCAGCTGGAACATGGCATAGGAAGTCCGTGGTTAGAAGAGAGAAGTGAAAGTTAAAGCATAGGCAATTCTGGGTAGGCAGAGCTCAGCCAAGCTGTATTGACCCCCATTGTTCAAATTCGGTCTGTCCCTGCATCTGATCTCCTTTGTTAGACTCCCAAGATGTGCCCCCGACTTCTTCCCGCAGCCCACACTTAACTTCCACCTCACCCCTCACATCCTCTGTTCCCGAGCTGGGGAGATGCGGCTCAGACCCCTGCTGGGAGGTGGGGAAGTCCATATCTCTCTGGGTCTTTGGTAGCCAGGTTTCAATGTCCGAGGGATTGGATCTGCCATTGTCTTCTCACGAGCCGCATTCATGTGGAACCTAAGGCCTCAGCCAGTGAGGCACCATTCACACCTGGGTCTGAGCCTATCCCAAGAGCAAACAGTCACTTTTCACCCACTAGGTAACAATGCAGAGGATAGGGGAAACTGAGGCACATATAGGCGTCATAAAATCATTACAAATATTCCCACTTTTTCACATACCCCTTCGCTAGTGGCAAACCTGGTATCTGAGAGCCCCCTACAGGCCTTGAAGATACGGGAGGTGAAAAATGGCTGGGATCTCATTCAAGTAAAGACCCTGTCCTCTGTTCAGATTAAAGTATGTGGGGGCTGGGAGCCAGCACTCCTGGGTTCTATCCCCACCTCGGGGCAAGAATGGGGTCTAGTGGGTTAGAGCAGGGAGAAGGGACTGGGAGTCAGGACTCCTAGGTTCTATACCCACCTCTGGGAAGGGACTGGGGTCTAGCGAATTAGAGCAGGTGGGGCTGGGAGCCAGGACTCCTGGGTTCTGTTCCCAGCTCTGGGAGGGGAGTGGGATCTAGTGGGTTAGAGCAGGGGGGTGGCTGGGTCTCCTGGCCCTAGGGAACTGGAGTCTATAAAATTTGAATCCTCTCCACATGCCGACAAGCTGCACTGTGTGTTCGCGTCACTGGTGAGGCAAGCTGTCCTGAGGTCATTGCCCTGTGGACAGCAATTGCTGTCTGTCAAAAGAGCTAAGTATTAATATTTGCCTTTCCCTCTCCCCCCAGGGCGGCTGTGACCTGTACCTCAGAGGGGGAAGCCCCTAAGTAAATGTACGCTGTCTGTAACGATGCTCCTGTGTGGGCTGGTGGTGAGGGTTCCACTCAAGGCCTCTGTAGCTAAAAGCGTGGGCCCCTGCAGCCTGAGCGTCTTTACAGCAGCAGACTGCTAAAGGAGGAAAGAGACTCATCCGATTGGCCTGGGTTACATGTAAACCCATATGTCCTTCCCTGCAGGAATGGGAACAGGCCCGGTAAGAAGAGGGACATAAGACAGATGCTGTTAATGTAATGACTAGTAGAGCCCCAAAGGAGAGGTGGGGTTCTTTCCTTTGCCATGTCAAAAGGCGCTGGTGTCTGCCCTCAGGTGAGTCTTGGGTCCAAAGACCATCCCAGACCTAGTGGGCGTGCCAGGCCCTCCCAAGCAATGGAAGGAGCCATTAAACTTCTTTGTGGAGTGGAGCGAGTGGCAAACAATGGAGCACAAGGTCAGAGCTCAGCTGCGTTTGCTGGCGGAGTCCCCTGACTACAATTAGGAGATTGGTTGCTGGCTGTGTGGGCTGGGGTCAGAAAGCCAGAAGACGGAGATACAGCTGGGGGTTATAGGGGATCACAAAGTGAATATGAATCAACCATGGGATGCT